GGCCCCCCCAAATCATCTGCGATCTGCAGGCGCGCGAGGGGGGGGGGGGCGGGGGCGCGAGTAGGGGTGGGGGGCCAAACGCGCTCGCCGATATCTGCATGGGCTGAAGACAGAAGATCCGGAAGCAGCGGCAGCGAGCAAACAACGTTTGCAGGCGAGGCCGAGCAAGACAAAGTAAATCAGAATCTACGGGCTTGTCTTGGGCCTCCCCGGCGCGAGCGCCGGCCTGCAGGAGAGCCTTTCGAAAGGCCGGCAAGGGCGGTCTGAATCTCGGCGGGGGCGACGCCCCAGTCTCTGAGGGCGGAGAAAAGCGGGTCGAAGGCGAAGAGGTCCGATCTGCCCTGCTCGCAGAGGTGAGCTCGCAGACGTCGGAGTCCGTGGCAACCTTCAGCGCGACTCTGCGGCCTTTGGCCCCGAGCTTGCAGGAGCTGCCCCAGAGCTGCCTGCAAATGGCGAGCTGCTTGACCGAGGCGTACATGGAGGCGAACGCGCGCTTCTTCTGGCGCGCACGGAGAAGGAGACCCCCGCGGATGCGGAGAGGGTGGGTGGACTGGTCGCGGAAGTCCTGCTGCGCCGGGCGGAAGATGTTGGCCTTGCGTTGAAAAGGCGTTGGCGGTGCAACGCACTTGAACTTGAGCATGCAGACCTGGCTGATCCTGCGGAGCTGAACAGCGACGCTGTTGTCGCCGAGTTCGTCAAAGAACCTCTTCTGCACCAGATCGAAGTGAGCTTGACGTGTCTTGAAGAGCACGGGGCGTGGGAGCACGCCGACATATTTAATCCTGGGGTCGCCCTGCCCACGGTCGAGGGCGAAGTCGATAGCGCCTTCAACACGTCGAGTTTTGTGACCACCGTGAGAGAAGGAGCGGGCACCTGCAACTGAACGCGCCGAAGACGCCGAGCTTGCAGTAGTACTGACTTGCACCCCAACCTTGCTACAACGAGCCGCCCGGGGCTGGACCTCATTGCGCAGGGCGGCGAGCTCGGCGCCCTGGGCCGTCATCTGACCTTGCAGCCCTGCTACGGCTGCTTGGGCCTCACTCCGAAGACTGGCAGCGATGTCGGCGGACTGCTTTTCCGTGAGGACAACCGTCATGGTGCGGATCTCGTCCGCACTCGCCATGGTGGCCTGCTGGGTCGCCGAGTGAGAAAAGAAGAGGACTGCGAGAAATGCAAGGGTCGCCCGTCGACCGCGCGGAGCTGCCGCGAGCCCCCCCTCGGCAGCGACCAAGTTCGAAGCGCCAGGGCCGCACGTTTTGAACTTGAGCCAACATGGCTACGGACGGCGAAGAGGAAGGAGGAGGAGGAGGAGTCGGGGTACACTGAAAGAAAACGAAACGAGGGCAAGCGAACAAGGCGCGAGAAAAGGGCAAAATGATGTTTCTCCCCGCGCACCGCCGTCCGCAATCTAGTTCTCAGAGGTCGCAATCGTTGACGTCGTGCATGTCGAGCAGGATGAAGGCGCCACGCGAAGAGGCTGAAGAGGTACAGCGAACCCGTTCGTGTTCAGCTCGTCGAGTAGCTGCGCAAAGGCGGTGCAGCGCCCGTCCGTCCTGATGCTGGCGATGAGCGAATCGCAGTGACTGTCGAGCTTGTCGTCCAGGCTGTCGTCGAAGTCGGCCCGTGGCGACCCTCGGCCTTGAAGGTGTTGGACGCGCTGCTCGATGCAATCGACATGCTGCTGCAGCTCGTCGTAGTCGCACTCGATGAGTTTCACCCGTTGGTCGAACTCGTTCCTGAGCTCAGGGGGCACGCTGTTGAGCTGCAGCTTGAAGGCGTTGAGGGACTGCTTCGTGTCCGTGTCGGCGTACGCCTTGACTTCCAGCCACTTCTGGTCGAACATGGCGCAAATCTCGTGCCGCATGTTATCGGGCAGCGAGCTCGGCTCGTGGAGGGGCGGCGGGCGCTGAGTCTTGAGAGACTCCTCGAGCATCTCGGTGATCACAGCTTTGGACTGGACGAGGTTGGCGTGGAGGCTCTTGAACATCGTTTCGTTGAGCGTGACGGTCACGGTGCCGAACGCATCCATCGTGATGTATTTGGCATTCATGGTGGCTTGAAGCGTATCGCCAGCATTCTGTACCTTCGCATCGATCATGGCGAGGAGCGAGCGCTGGAGCCTGCAGATCTTCTCACCGATCGTGGCGGACAGGCGGTCGCTGTGCAGCGCGGCGCTCGTGAGCGTGAGCTCCGGAAATGCAGGAACGAGCTGTCCTTCGTGTCAACGTTGTGCAGGACAGCGCCTCCTTGTGAAGCTGCAGGACGCAGGTCAGGATGAGCGACGGGTAAAAGGACACCATATCCGAGGTCATCGTTGTCATGTATGTCTGCCCATGCCGAGCGTGTGGTTGCTGAGGGCGCCGCGGGGTGGTAGTGCTTGGCGTGGTCGGCGCGCTCGAAATCGCGCCGCGCGAACTTGTAGTCGGTCTGGCCCAGCGTGCCCAGTTTCCACGAGCGGTCGGCGGAGATCTTGCCCGACGTCGTGGCCTCGCCGCCCTTCCAGTCCAGGCAGCGGTGGAGCTCTTTGCCTCGAGCCAGCGCCTTTACAGCGGTGCGGTCCTCAGCGGCGCACTCCACGAAGCAGCGACCAGGGCCGGAATGAACAGCATGATAGTGAGCGTTCTGAAGGCGTCGCCGTTCCTGTTCGGCAGTGAGATGACGCTGCTGGGCGAGAGCCTGCACGTACGATCGGCAGCCAGTCATACAGCGTGAAGCCCACACGCACGGTGGGAAAGAAGAGCAAGCAGGTAGATGAAGTCCCACTCCGAGGTGGCAGAAGAGCCCGAGGCAGACGTGCGTCAGCATCCAGCTGTCGCCATGGCGAGGAACCCCGCTCGCGGCGGGAACACGCGGCCAGATGGGGAGCGCGAGTCCCAGGAGCTCTTGAGCCAAAATGGCTACAGAAGAAGGAGGATGAGGAGGAGGAGTAGGAGGGACAGCCAAAGTGGCCACGGAGACCAAAAGAAAGAGAGGAGGAGAAGAGGAGGAGGCACGACCGACCGACAAAGGTCATGCAGGGTGGCACTTCTCGTTCTTGTAATGCACGAACAGCTTGCAGCATCTTTATGTGATCACGCGTGTGCGTCCCCCTTTTTTCACAGCACAAAACGCAAAACCTGTGCAGCTCATGTCCGATCAGCCCCTAACAAAAACAGGAAGGAGAGAAGGGAAGCCAGAGAAGGTACACACAAGACGTTCCATAAACGCAAGGCAAGGTTTGACCGCACCGCCAAATCTGTCCGCCCGGGCTGCGTGTGTTGCAACATTTGTGTATTCTTCAGCCTTTGACCCCCCATCGCGCGACCTGTTGCGCAAAATGCTGCGAGGCTGTCTGCGGGGAGGGGGGAGAGGACACGTGATCCAGATGACCTCGCTGAGGCTACGGGAAACCACGGGCAATGAGACCGCGGCTACCTCATCCGCGCTTGAAGCCACAACAACAAGGACGACAAAGGAACAGCATGGTTTTGTGGCAACTCATGGGAGCTTCTAGTGTCGTCTTGTTGGCTCTTGCAACGACGCTACAACTAAATCGACGCTACATCGACGCTACATCTGCGCTGTCTCATCGAGAGGCCAGGCGCTAGTGCACGCCAGTGCACTCTAAAGACGGAGCTTCGAGGACACGCCAGGCCCCCGGAGGTGCCAATTACCGAAACAGCAGCGGGAGAGCCGGCGCTTCCGTCCACGGAGCTTCGGCGAGTCGACCGTCAGAGCGCGCGGTGCGCGGGCGTTCCTGCCCCCGCCGGCAGCCTCCCCCGCCGGCAGCCTCGAGCGCCGCCCCGCCGCGCGGCCTCGTGCTCGCGCGGGGGTGGAGGAGAGACCCGCCTCGTGCCCTCGGCGAGCAGCGGGCGTAGAAGAGGCCGCCGCCATGCCACTCGCGACGTCGTCGGGCTCTCGCGATGCGGCGTCCTTCCCCCGCGCCGTGCCGCGGACGTCTGCTTGCCAGGGCTTCGCGGTGGGCATCGCCGAAATGAGAGGACGAGGAGGGGGAGGAGGGACAGCCAACGTGGCCACGGAGACCGAAAGAAAGAGAGAAGGGAAGGGGGAGAAGGAGGAAGAGGAGGAGGGACGGCCGACCGAACACGGTCATGCAGGATGCCCACGACCTAATCGGAGAATCAGTTGCAAGCGCTGCGCACGAGCACGCAGCCTACCTCGCATAAGACTCAAAGGGAAACAGACAAGAAGGAGGGGAAGGGGAAGCGCGGTGGAGGAGGAGGCGGAGGCGGAGGAGGGCAGGAAAAAGAGGGCTCTCCAACGTCGTAGGAGCCGTTGGGGAGGTGGTGAAGCGACACAGGCGCAGCTGGGCGAACTGGGCTGAAGACACTCCTCCCCTTTGCCTCCTCGTCCACCCCCGCCTCTTCCTTCTCCGGTGCAATTATCCATGCCTCGACTGCACCGCCTCCGTTCTCCGCCTCCTCGGCCGCATAACCCCCCTTCCCTCTCCCCTGTGATTCCCAAGCTTCGATCCCCCTCTCTGGCACGGCCCTCCACTCCCCCCGATGCACGAGGGAGAAACGCACTCCCGAGGGGCGGCGTTCGCGTGGAGGAGAAGCGGGATGTCGCCATTGGGGAGTCGTTGGGGTCAGAGGTTCAATGGCCCGCGCCACGTCCGCCCCGCTGCCTCCTCGCGCGGCATTCTACACCACCTGACCCTGCCGAAGTGCCTGGCGCAAAGCAGGCCGAAGTGGCAACAGGCGGGCAGGAAAGGGGCCGCTCTCGGGGCCAGCCCAGCAGACATCTGCTGCCAACTGCTCCCCTTAGAGGCAACGTCGGGGGAGGGACCAGCTCATGGAGGGACCAGTACACTGGCACTGGCTCAAGGGGGAAGCATCGACCTGGAACCGGCGATATATATCCGACAACGACTTTCCACGCTCCTGGGTGGGGTGGCGTCATCGGGCCCCCGTCGGCGATGAATGGGCGATTGGGGATCGACGCGTGCCCCTCCCTGAGCTTCACCCCTCCCAACGGTGCCCCCGATCCCCGCTCTGATTGGGGAGGCGCTGCTCCCAGACTGGCGCTGCGGAGAGGGGCGGCAGATTTTTCCGAAGCGTCGCGCTGGTGATACCCACAGGGTGCCCAAGCCCAACCCCAGCGGGCTCTTCAGCGCACGCGGGACAGCGATCACACCACTCGGGGCGAGCAGGTCGCATATCTGTGGCCAGCTAGCCTGACTTCGTGGCAGGAATAGGCTCGCCCCAAGCCTTGCCCGAGGCCCGTCAGGCACTGGACAGGAACAGCGGCGCCCTGCAGTCCCCTCGCGGAGACACCAGGCGCTGGGCTGCACGACGAGCTGTCAAGGGCCGGGTGCGCCGGGAGGAGGCCAGGAAGAGGGGGGTCAGCGCATCGTGACCCGACGCATGTGCGCGGACGAGGGGAGGGGGGGCCAGGGGGAGCGTTGAAAGTATGACAGGGGGGCATGACATCTCGCCCCGGGCCACGATGTCCACATCCAACCTGATGCTCACCTCCCCTTCGCTGCCCTCGAGAGGAGGGAGGGGGGCGAGCAGCCCGGATCAATTGAAGGACGTACACACCGGCGGAACGGCGAGGCAGAACCCGAAAAAGCTTGCCTTAAAAAGTAGCCTAGGCCGTCCGTGGCCTCTTGCCCCCAGTGATGAAAGGGTCGTTGTACAGGTCCTGCAGCTTCACCCGGCGGTCCTCGGAGGCGGCTCGGAGACATGTACATTTAGACACCTACGACAAGAAATTGAGCTGGCATTGAAAATCTGTGGGGCAGACTCTTAGTCGAGCTCTGAGGATCCCGAGGTGTCCCAGAACTTCCGTGGGTCCCTGGGGCCATCGGGTGACAATAAGTTTCCGTGCGCCTGGTGGCATGCCGATTTCTTATATGACGTTCCAACTTTCTGAGACACAGCACGCTTTCCCCAACTCGAAGTGGTCAGGTCGACTGCAAGGCAAGATGGCGTATTCCAGGCGCACCAGCGACAGGGGCGGCGGAAAATCCAAGAGACAATGGTCAGACTAGGCGCGTGCCTCCGAATGGGTAACATCCCCTATTCATTACATCCTTGAGAACCAGAGCCAGAGCTGGAACCGCGTGCTCTCAATCAGCACTGCACATTGTCCAGCGACGATGATGCCGCATGCATGAAAATGATGGATCAAAACCTGGGCATCAGATGGCCCCGTCGCACTCTGTACCCAGACCCTGGCAATGTGCAGCTGATGGAGACGACATTGGCCACACCGTATCGAGGGTGAGCAATTCCACCGAACATCTTACAGCTGTCCTTCTCTTGCGTCTCACCGCGCGCTTGCGCTCACCCTCGCTGACTCGTCCAGCCAAAAACATGTGTTTGGGTCGCGGCGGTGGCGAACGCTCACCGCGTCCGTAGCCTAAGCGGGAGCGCTGCTAGCGGAATTGTGCGCAGGCCGGCTTCCAACCGTAACAACGTAACACGACCCGTTGTGACACCAGCTGGCCCTTCAGCGCGGCCAGTGGGCCCGAGTTGGTCCTCCTGGGTCCACCTCTCTAGTCCCTCGCGCCTTTTCAGTTCTTTTGGGGGGGAGGGATTCCCCCCGCGCCACAACATCTCCTCCAGTTCTTAATGCTCGACGGGGCAGGGGTGGAAAATGCAGGTGCCACGGGCGCGCTCTGTTGGCGTGGTGGGCGATGCCAACGCCCACCCGGGGCGCTGGCCATTTCTGAAGTAATCACCTCCGACCCGCACAGATCGCAGTACCCTCCCCGCTCGCCTGTGGACTAGAAGTGTCTGGCCGGCCGCGGAGAAGCGAGCGAGCATCGGATGGAAATGCGTGCCGGGCCGAGCCTCAAGGGCTGGGGGCGGGTAATTCTGAAACTCTCCTGGGGTGCGTTCGGGGCCCTCTTGGGAGCGATTGAAACTTTTGTTATGGACGTATCTGTTGGGCCGCGCCTCGGGCTTGAGAAATTGAGAAGGCTCCTGAAGCCTCGCCGGAACCCTCTCCCCTCTCGGGGGTCGTCTTGGGAGCTTGTGGGGCCCCCTTGGAGCCTATCTCATGCTTCTTTTCTCGAGCCATGTTGGTGCCATCTTCAGGCATTCGAAGACCGTCGGAAGCCGAAACGTCGAGAAGGCAAACGCAAGCGCAACACATAACGTGTTTCTCCAATTAAGCGTGCCCATAGGAGTCCAAACACAATGGCATCGAGAAATGGCCCACTAAATGTATGGCAGGAGATGCCTAAGAAATGCCTGGAGCCTCTATGGCCCAGTCGTATCGCTCCATCAAATGCAGTATGGCCTACGGCCATCCACACGACTGGGCCATCCTTTGCCTCCCCCATGGGAGGCAACAGTGAATCTGATTCCCTTCTGGTCATAAAATACTCCTACTAGGTGGCCAGATTTTCGATCACTCATACATTCAATCACACGCTATTTGTATAATGTAAACCCACCTGGCCGTGAGAGGTGGGCGTGTCCGCAGCTCTCAAGAGCTGCCGACACCGATTTCGTGACAGTAGGCAACAGTAGTGTTGACGCTACGAGATCGTAGCCACACAAATGTAGCGACGCTTCCCTTCGCTACGCTTGATGTGCCCCCCCCCCCCACAAGATCATATACATGTTAATGTGTTGTTTATCCGAATTTCATTTTGCCATATAGTGGTAACACTAGTTTGCGGTTTATTGTGAAGAGGGAGCTTGAAGGGAGGGCGTATTCCAACATCGTTGATTCGTTGATGACTCTTCGGTTTACACTGGTTCTCCTCCTCCTCCTTCTCCTCCTCTTTCTCCTCCTCTCTCCTCTCTCTTCTCTCCTCCGCCTCCTCTCCCTCGGGTCCCTGTTGTGCAACCGGCTCAGGAAGTCCCGGCAGTCCGTCGTCACCCTCGGCTGGTCTGGCAGCGGCGGAGCCTCGTGCGGGGCCTCGTGCGGGGCGGCGCCGCTGCGGAGCTTGCCTCGGTCGGGGGGCGCGGGGGGGTTGCCTGGTGTGGCCGCCGCAAGCCGACAGCTGCTGCGCCCGCTCGTCTGAAGGCTCTGCCCGCGATCGCCCCCACCGGTGGGGAGAGAGAGGTGGGAGACAGAGAGAGGGAGAGGGAGAGAGAAAGAAAGAGAGGAGGGATGAATAGAGAGAGAGAAGGAGAACGAGAGAGAGAAAGAGATACATATATATATATATATATAGAGAGAGAGAGAGAGAGAGAGAGAAAGAAAGAAAAAAAAAAGGCGAGAGAGGGATATTGAGAGAGAGAGGAGGAGGAGAAGGAGGAGGAGGAGGAAACGGAGCAGGAGGATGTAGAGGAATATGAGGAAACATACATACATACATACATACATACATACATACATACACACATGCATGCATGCATGCATGCATGCATACATACACGCGTGCATACATGCATACACACAAACATACATACATTCATCACATGCACAAACACACAAACGCATAAATACGTACATACATACATACATACATGGATGCATGCATACATACATACATACATACGGAAGAGCGAGTTCTGCGGCCGCTTGGAGTAGGGGGGTTGGAGGCGGACCCGCGCCCCCCCCCCATGGATGGACGGGGGAGGGGAGCGGGTTCGACCCCCCACCCCGTCCCCTCCCTCCTCTGCTTCCCTCTCCTCGGGCAGGCGCATGCGTCGGCGGCGGCTGGCGGCGGCGGCGGCAGGTACGACGATTTCCTTTTCTGGGCCGCCGCCGGCGCCTGAGACGGCGGGCGGCGGCGGCGGGGAGCGTCGACGAGGACGGCGGTGGTGGTGGTGGTGGGTTGTGGTGGTGGTGGTGGCGGTGGTGGTGGTTGTGGTGGTGGTGGTGGTATATTGTGATGCTGGTGGTGGTGGGTGGTGGTGGTGGTGGTGGTGGTTTGGTGGTGTGGTGGTGGTTTGTGGTGGTGGTGGCGGTGGTGGGTTGTGGGGTGGTGGTGGTGGTGGTTTGGCGGTGGTGTGGTGGTGGTGGTGGTGGTGGTGTGGTGGGTTGTGGTGGTGGCGGTGGTTTGTGGAGGTGGTGCTGGTGGTGGTGGTGGCGGTGGTGGTGGTGATGGTGTGGTGGTGTGTGGTGGTGGTGGTGGTTTGCGCTGCTGGTAGTGGTGGTGGTTGTGGCGGTGGTGGTGGTGTGGTAGATTGTGGTGGAAGTGGTAGTGGTGGTGTGTATTCGTGGTGGTGGTGGTGATCGTGAATTGTGGTGGTGGTGTTTGTGGTGGCTGTGGTGGTGGTGTGGTGGTGGTGTGGTGGTGGTTTGTGGTGGTGGTGGTGGGTTGTGGTGGTGGCGGTGGTTCGTGGAGGTAGTGCTGGTGGTGGTGGTGCTGGTGGGTTGTGCTGCTGGTACTGGTGGTGGTGGTGTAGTGATTTGTGGTGATGGCGGTGGGTGGTGCTGCTGGTGGTGGTGGTGGTGGTTGTGGCGGTGATGGTGGTGGTGTGGTAGATTGTGGTGGTGGTGGTGGTAGTGGTGGTGTTTTTTTTTGGTGGTGGTGGTTGTGATGGTGAATTGTGGTGGTGGGGGTTGTGGTGGTGATGGCTGTGGTGGTGGCGGTGGTGGTTGTGTGGTGGTTGTGTGGTGGGTTGGTGGTGGTGATGTTGGTGGTGGTGGGTTGGTGGTGGTGGTATGGTGGTGGTGGTGGTGGTGGTAGTGGTGGTAATTGTCGCTGCGTCCCCGCCGTCGCCGGCGCGAGCGCCGGCGGTGCTAACCGCCGCCAGCGCCGGTGCCGGCGCCTGGGGGAGGGCCTTCAAACCCTCCCCCCCCTCGCGCGCTAGGGGGGGGGGTTCAAACCCCCCCCTTCGCTTGGGCTGCCTCTGGTCATCGTCGCTGCGTCCCCGCCGTCGGCAGTGCTGGCGGCCGCCAGCGCCGGCGCCGGCGCCGAGGGGGGGGGAGGGGTTCCCCCACCCCCTTCTGGGAGAAGGGGGGAGGGGTTCGGGGGGGGGGGGGGAGGGGAGCCCCCCTGGTTTTGATCGACGGCGCCGAGTGTGGGGGGGGGGGGGGGCACCCCCCGGTTCGAAACGCGCCGCCGATGTTCCCAAGGCGAGCGCCCGTGAAACGTGTTCTGTCACATATACATACATACAAACATACATCCATCCATCCAACCAACCATCCATCCATCCAGCCATCTTTACATACATACATATATACATACACACATACATACATACATACATACATACATACACACACATACATACATACATACATACATACATACATACATACATTACATACATACATACATACATACATACATACACACACATACAAACATACATACATACATACACACATACATTCCTACACACATACATACATACATACATACATACGTACGTACGTACGTACGTACGTACGTGCGTGCGTGGATGAATACCTGCATAGAGGGCGGAAAACGTATACACAAACGGCACAACCACCAAACCCATGCAACTTTAAAGCGTGTACAAAGAGAGGGGGGAGAGAAACTAGGGAGAGGGGGAGAGAGAGAGAGAGAGAAACTCAGGGATTGAGAATTAACAACAGCAGCAACAAGACGACCAACAACATCAACAACACCACCAACAACAACGACGGCACTAACACACCAAACACAACACCCGCAACAACAACAGCATCAACACCATCATCAACAGCAACAACACCAACACCAACAACAAGACCAACAACAACACGAATTTCGCCCGAATGCTCGATGCTTCCATATGCAGCATGCATCCACCATGATGTATCCCCCATCATGGGGGATTGTTTCTTGCACGCGGGGCTCCGGTATTTCCTCTCTCTCTGATCTCCCGCCCGAAGAGGTCTTGACAACACCTCTTCCGAGGCACTTCAACATCTCCAGCCCGATCGGCACATCGCCTTCGCAATCCCCCTGCCCAGGCCTTGCGTCTAGGTGTCACAGCGCCTGAGTGGCCGAAGACCTCTGGGAGAGGCCTCGCAACCTCTGGGAGAGCCCCGTTCAGAGCCCCCAGAACCTCTGAGAGGAACTTCATAGCTTCGGCCAGTAGGCTTTCGACCCGTTCCAGCGGGCCGTTTTTGAGTCGGCCGCTTTCTGATGGCGCCAAGGCTCGCCGTCGTCGTCGTCGTCGTCGTCGTCGCCGCCGCCGCCGCCGTCGTCGTCGTTGTCATCTTCGTCGTCGTCGTCGTCCTTCTCCTCCCTGCGCTCCTCCTGCAAAAAATGCCCCTGGTCCTAGGTGTCTCCCGGAATTCCAGGAGGCCCCCGGAGGCCTCCAGACCACGACGGCGACGACGACGACGACGACGGCGGCGGCGGCGGCGGCGACGACGACGACGGCGACGACGCCACGCCCCAGGACACGAGTGAAAGCGAAGTCGCGCGGAGCAAGCACGAGCGCGCGAAAACGCATTCATGGTGTCCAACAGTAACACGTGTTTAGCGACGACGACGACGACGACGACGACGACGACGACGGCGACGACGAAGCGACGACGACGACGTCGGCGGCGGCGGCGGCGACGATGGCGACGACGCCACGCCCCAGGACACGAGTGAAAGCGAAGTCGCGCGAAGCAGGCACGAGCGCGCGAAAAAGCATCCAGGGTCTCCACTAATAGCAGTTGTTCAGCGACGACGACAAAGACGACGGCGAAAACGAAAACGACGACGGCGACGACGACGAAGCGACGACGACGACGATGGCGGCGGCGGCGGCGACGATGGCGACGACGCCGCGCCCCAGGACACGAGCGACAGCGAAGTCGCGCGGAGCAGGCGCGAGAGCGCGAAAGCGCACTCAGGGTGTCCAACAATTACAATTATTTAGCGACGACGACGACAATAACAACGACGACGACGACGACGAAACGACGACGACGACGGCGGCGGAGGCGGCGGCGGCGACGACGACGACGACGACGACGATGGCGACGACGCCACGCCCCAGGAGCCCAGGACACGAGCCTGAGCGAGGTCGCGCGGAGCAGGCGCGAGCGCGCGAAAACGCATTCAGGGTGTCCAACAAGAACCACTGTTTAGTAATTAAGGTTCAGGGCCTCCTGGGAGAGAACGGGGATTCTTGAGACAAATCGGGGGAAATATCGAGCGTGAGCGTCGTTGTTTGTAGGGGGTCCTGAAGCGGGAGCGCCAATTCTGAGGTGAAAAGCAAGGAAGCATCGACCGGGAACGCCGATGTTGTTGGAAAGGCGGCTTTGGCGGGCGAGCAAGAACCCCGGCCCCGAGTGAGAAAGGAGGGTATCGAGCCAGAGCGTTGTTGTTGTTGTTGTTGCTGTTGTTGTTGTTGTTGTTGTTGTTGTTGTTGTTGGGCGCCCAGTTTTGGCGGAACTCCGAAAAACCTGAGCGTGAGCAGAATCCCACCAGCCTTTTAGGGCGTAGGTGGTCTAGGGGGTTTTGTCTTCCATCTGCCCCTTTCCCCTTCGCGGAAGGGTTGATGACTGCTCCCTATTAACATACACCCCCTCTCCCACCCAGCCGGCGGCCCACCCGGAACCACGCCGACCCCATGCAGGCCACCCTGTATGCAGCACACCTGGCGCACGCGGAGCACGTGGCGCAGCTGGTGCACCAGACGTGCCTGGCACGCTCGGGCCCCAGCGTCGCGCACATGGGGTCGGTTTTGGTTACCAGTAGCTGCCCATCCAAAGACGACCGCTGAACATGCTCAGGCTCGGATGTTACTCATGTGTTGGGAGGGCGGGAGGGAGTGAGCTAGACGGCTTGTGGGCAGGTGGGAAGCTTGACCCCTCCCCCGACCTCCTCTGGACGGGGGGTCCCGCGAGACGTTGGAGCATCCAAGATGCATCCAAGATGGCCCAAGATGGCTCTCATAGTGCCTCGGAGAGCCCAAGATGAGCTCCAAGATGGCTCAAGATATCCCAAGATGCCTCAAGATGGCTCCCAAGATGCTCCAAGAGGCCCAGAGACCGCTCCAAGGCGGCTCCAATTGGCCAAAGAGCTCCCCGAGGAGGCCCC